ATCAATGTCTTCTTTAGAAGCAGTTATAAATTCTTTTACTGCAGTGTTTTTTTTTTCAGATTGGGTTTCCTCCCTCTGTTTCTGCAGTTGATTCTTTACTTCAGATGCTATAAGTTCTGAGAATGCTTTTTTTATTTCAGAAAAGAATTTTGCTCTGTGTTCCTCTATAACTTTCTGCTGTTGCTTATTTACTATTCATGCTATTAATTCATACATTTGAGCCGAGCTAGTGTCCTTTGCACTTGTTCTGGATGGGCGTTGGGTTTCCTGTATATGTTTCTGCATTTGATTCTTTACTGCACATGTTATTAATTCAGGGATTTCTTTTTTCATTTCCAATCTGAGTTCCTCTATACCTTTCTACAGCTGTTTCTTTATTTCAGAAGCCATTGATTCATTGCTTTCAGCTGTGTGATTCCCAATTTGTTCTGTGTTAGAGTCCTCTGCACTTGTTATGGGTGGGCTTCACTTCTGAGATTGTATTTTGCTCCTTCTCATTGTCATTTTGTGTAGCACTGTCTTCTGATCTTTGGTGCCGTTATAGCCTTAGAACCTACTGAAATTGAGGTGTAGATCTACAAAGTTTGGATTTATTCAGCTGTGCCTGGCTTGGGTCTGGTTGCTGTCCTCAGCTCTTTTCTGTTGCTGCCCTTGGGTGTGAACCTGTTGTGCCCCTCTGGCAAGATGTTCTGCTCCTGGGCTAGCTGGGTGGTTCTGTCCCCTACACTCTCTTCAGGGACTGCAGCTGAAGGCTTTCACCCCAGGCCTGTATGCCAGGCCTGAGCTGAGTCTGGAGGTGTCAAGTTGGAGTAGTGGGGAGAGGCAGGTCTCCCATACCCTCACTGGGCCTGGACTAGGACTGGATCTGGGGGTTGCCAGAATGTGACAGAAATTCCTACTCTCTGGGCAGGATGTGGAGGGGTTCTAAGGAGTGATGGGGGTGTGCTAAGGGGGTGAAAGTGGGTGCCACCCACACTGCACTGGGGCTGGGACCAGTAGGTCATGCCAGCACAGGGTAGGTGGAAGCTCTCCCACACACTCACCAAGCCTGGGCTAGGACTGGATCTGGGAGTTCCTGCAATGTGGGATAAATTTCTACTGGGCAAGCGGGGTAGGGGACATGCTGCGGAGTGGTGGGGGCATCCCAAGGGGGGTGGAAGAGGGTCTCAACCTGCTGCACCTGGGTTGGAACCAGTAGGTCCCGCTGGTGCAGGGCAGCCGGAAGCTCTCCCACACACTCACTGGTCTTGGGCTAGGACTGGGTCTGGGGGTTCCCAGAATGCAGCAGAAATTTCTACTTGGTGCGCGGGGTGGGGGAGGTGCTGTGGAGTGGTGGGGGCATCCCAATGTGGTGGAAGAGGGTCTCACCCGTGCTGTGCTTGGGCTGTTCTCAGTTTTTTTAAATTAAAAAAATTTTCTTTTCATTGAAGGATAAAATTATACTTAGTTCTTATTGTGAGTACTCAACAGAAAGTTATACTTGCTCTTTTCTACCTGTTGGATTTTTCCAAATCTTCTGAATATTGAGATACATTTTCTTCTGTGGATCTTCTGGATGTTCCTAAGAAAACATACAGAAAATTAATCATTTATCCTGAATACAGTTTATGGTTACTGTGAGCTTGAACCTGGGAATGCCTTTTCAGTGATATTAGTCCTTTGCACACGCGACATGATAAACTTGTGTGTATCGCTGCGGTCAATTATATTGTTTAAAGATAACTCAAACAATATCTGTCATTACATCTGTTCTTCTGCAGAGTGACCTTGTTAACTCATCTTGGAGAAGCAGAGTGTAATTCCTCTTCAACTGAAAGTGGGCTACACGTAGGGCTTTTGTTATCAACAGAAAACAGAGAAAGTGACTTGCAACATGACCATTGTTGCATGGGGTTTTTGCAAGGTGTTTTAAGATGCTTGTTTTGAGGAAGCAAGTCACCATCTAAGAGGTCCTACTGCCTGACATGGCCATGCTGGTCTATTGTCAACATGGGAAGATGCTCTGGAAGGAGTCCCCAGGAGCCTAGTCTTGTACCTATCCCCACCAGGCTCCGGTTTGTGACCCTTCAGACCAGCCTACCTGGCATCAGGTACTACTTAGTCATCTCAACTGAGGTCCAGCCAAGCGCTGCTTGAATTCTTAAACCACAGAATTCTTGTGATACAAGGAAACAACAACTGGGAGGGCCACTTGCAACTGGAAAGGGCACTTTGTTAGCAATAAGATGGCAAATTAAAACCAAACTTTAAGGCTGACGAGATAGCTCAGGAGTCTAAGCACCTGCCTGGCAAGTGCAAGGACCTGGGTTTGATTCCCAGTATCTCGTACCATCCCAGCCAGCCCATTTTAGGTGTCCCATATAGGCCACTGAAACTGGCATGACAGCACATGCCTATAATCCCAGCTTTGAGGAGGCTGAGACAGGAGGATCACTACAAATCTGAGATGCATAGTGAGACCCTGTACCAATTAATTAATTAAAAAGTTAAAAAAATCCAAGTCATAATATTAATGTAGAACTATGTAAAGTACTCAAATAATAAAACCAAATATGCAAAATTTATATATAGGGAAATATCTTTATGTAAAATAGAGATATATAAAGAGATGTTATTTTAGTTTTGCCTTTTAGTTTTGACATATCTGCCTTTTAGTTTTGACGAAAATCCGCTCAGACAAATCCATTAAGATATTTCTGCCCTGCTTAGAACAGTTTCCAGGTTTTACATCCCTCTCTCATTTCTTGTATCCTGTTTGGAACACAGAAAATGGAATATTTGGACTATTGTCTGCAAAAGACAATAGTCCCTTTAACTTTCTGCTGTAACTGGCATATGGCCTTCTTCTGGAAACACTATCAGCCCAGCATGCTTTTTGCTTTTGTTTTCTCAGCCTTCTTACTACTGGGCTTAGAACTCATCAGATTATAAATCAGCTGTTGATGTTTATTATGAAATATCAACAATTGGAGTCTTTCTCAATTGAGTTTATCTTTGACATATTGTAATTTTACCACTTTCTAAATGTATTAATAATATCAGTTCATCTCAGTTCCTTAAGCTCCTGTTGCCTTAGATCTTGTTTCTTCACCCTGCCCAAGCCATTAGCTTTTCTGGTCATATTTGACCTTGTTGTCATTAGCAGCAAATACAAGCCCTTCTCTTCCTCAGTTTCCCACAACTGCTCAGCTGCCACTTTGCTCTTATCATATTACTCCCTGTGGTGGCGCAACACAATGTGCAAACCCACCTCCATATGGAAGTGCTTCCATTTTTCACATCTGCTATGTCTTCTTCATATTCACTCATTTGTAGGTATGTTAATTCTTTATGCTTTTCCCACTTTGTCATAGTCACTCGAGAGGCCTATAACCCTAACAAAGCCCAACTGTTTGCCTGTTCCTCTCTTGTACATGTAGCTTGACATAGCTGGTAAAAACACATGACCAGGCAGGGAAGCTTCATTTTAAGTTCATGGGAACAAACATTAGGTGCACATTTAATGCTTTCAGTCCATCCTACTAAACATTCGGTTGTGTTCATTCTTTCACTCTTACAGAGTACCATTTAACTTCCTCCCCCTCAAACTACCAGCCTTTCTGCGCATCTTCTCTTTCAGCTAATGATTTCTTTTCCCACTTCATAGAGGAAGTAAACATAGGAAAAAATTCTACAAACTCAGTGGCAAAAGCTCTGTGCTTCTGTTCTGAATACTTCTACTGTGCTACTATGGATGAGCGGTCTATGCTCCAGTCTAAAATAATATCCTCCACTTCCATTGTACTACCTTCACTTCCTGTCTTGCCCATATCAGACATAGCTCCAGGATTTTCTTCTGCCTCCCACTGAAGTGGAGATTTTGCTCTCTATTTGATCTTTTCCACAAGCACGTAAATATTTAGTTGAGGTTACATGACTAAATTCTCACCAGTGGATGCAGGCAGACTTGTGCTGAATGTGGTGTGCTGCTCATGACACCGGCGTTCATTGCTGTTTGAACTTTCACTTTTTTCAGTGTAGAGCATTAAACAATTACCCTATCATGCAGATTCTTCCATTGTTAGTCTTTCACTTAACTAATACGTTTTATCATTCTCTTTGATAAATAACTACCCTTTAGCTTGTCAGCTTAATATCTTTCCTTGCATCATAATATGCAGAACACTTGGAACCCTAAGGCCCATTTTATACTTGCCAATATCTTGAACTCAGCATTTCCTTTGGCTTAGAAAAAGGTAACTGTATGTATAAAATTTTCCTTGATTGTATTTGAAATTGTTCTTGATCTGAAACAATTGGTTAGCTTTCTTTTTAAAAAATGTATTTGGTTGTTACAGGGTCTCATTATGCAGCTCAGACTCACAGTGATCCTCCTATTTTCAGCCTCCCCAGCACTGGGATTACAGGCATATGCCACTATACCCGGACTCTGGGGGTGGGGCTGGTGTGTCATGTGGTACCAGGGGTCGAGCGCTCCATAGGCTTGCCTAAGCAGGCGCTTTAGTCTGCTGAGCTATCTCACTGGCCCCTGGTTAGCTTGAATTACCCAGATGTTGAGGAAAAGTGACTTTATTGTGGAGGATTTCCTGAAATAGGCTGAGCAGAATAGCTTTGTATACCACTACTCTTCTGTACAAGCTACAACTACCAGTTTAGATGGAAAGCATTTACACACTCTGTTCTAGGTAATTTTAGCAACAATTTATTTACAAGAATAAGCATTTGAAGTTGACTTCCAGCTGTTCCGACACTCCTATTTATTTATAACGGAGTGGGCCCCATAGGTTCTTGGTTCCATCTTTGCAAAAACACTCTTCTCCATTCCTAAGCCAGGTTTCCTGTCGTGGGCCTAACTTAGGGTGTGATTTGAATAATGTGTAATCTGTAGGACTTCAAGTAAGCTATAAAATAGAGATCAGCACCCCTTTCAGTGGAGGGGGTGCGTAATGATAACCAAGAAATTAAAGTGTGATATTTGTTTCTATTGTTAGCTGTTTCAATAGAAATGGGCACTTCTATATTGCTAACAATGAAGACATTTTCAGATGCTAACTCCTTTCAACAAAAGGGTCTTATTTATACTATAGGTTAGTCTCTATTGTACCAGAATAAAACAGATAATACTGGCTATAATAAGCTTAGTATCTCATCCCTTTATTTGAAAAATAATGACATATAATCTTTATAATGTAGTGTTGTCTGCAAGTGAGATTTTTACAATGTTATCTGTAGACAAGTATGAATTGAAATGGAGGAGATACTCTTTGGCAGTTTGGTGACTGGAAGGGTGAATGAATTTTTATAATTTTATCATGTAAAACCTTTCTAGTGTTCTTGTTGTAGAAAAGGGTAAATAATAACTCATATATAAAGGTTGTGTCAGAGCTTATAGACTAGACCCCTGGTAATGGATTCAACCTTTCCACAACAAATCAAAAGTATTGTTGTATGCTCACATGAATATACAGTAGCCATTACCTTAAATTTAAAACTCACTATAAGCAGCCAACAAAGAGAGCAGGATATGAAGGCTGTATTGTATCAGTGTGGTCTGCAGAGAATTTCTTCATATGGTTTTTGCCTTGTTGAAATATATGTTGCAGTTCAAAGCTAAAGGGATTACTTTTGAATAGTCATCACAGAGGGTGATTACATTCGTATATCATATTTAGCTGGACCCTGCAGGCTATTACTCCATTAGCTATGCTGGTCTGGCCATTGTCAAAAAGTTGATCACCTAATGTTAAAAGACTGTGGTTTTTGTTGACCTTATCAAAATGTCTCAAAAGATTTTGTTAAAAAATAAAACTCAGATTATGTTTTATGAAGCTAATGAAGAGTCAATACTGTGTATAAAAATGCTCATACTTTAGGGTGATCTTAGCATTATGACTTTATTGACACTGACAAGATATTTTACTTTTGTGTTTCAGCACATTTTACTTAAAGATACAGATGCAATTTTAGTAGAAATAACACTTCTTTCTTATGGTAAAAAGTCTCAGAAGCTAATTTCTGAAGAGAATGGAAATCTCTTCCTTTACCGCCATGTATTTAAATAATATAAAATTAACAGTGTTAGAAGTAAGATAATATATCTATTATATCAATACTAATAGAATAGATAATCTATAGTGATCTAATTATAGTCTGGTTTTAAAATCATACAGTAGTGAAGAGAACAGAGGTTTTTTTTATTACTAGTACAGGGTCTACACAGTCTCACTACAGTGGATTGGACTTGTAGTGATCCTCCTGTTTTCAGCCTACTAAGCATGTGGGCACCACCATGCCCAGTTTCAATTGCTATCTCACTGTGCCCTGGGGGCAGGGCCAGCACAGCACATTGGGGATTGAACCCTGGGTCCCTGCATCTGCCTAAGCAGGTGCGTTAGCCCACTGAGCTATCTGACCAGCCCGAGAACACAGTTTTGAGGAAACAGCATAAATACAGAAAATTTATCATTCACATTTGATAATCAAAATCACTTTGAATAAATAGTCTTTTTACTTTTAAGACAATGACTGTGTGACTTCACTTATTTAAATACAACAGTTGAA